TCTATAGAGGGGGCCCAAAGCTGGACACAGTACTCCAGATGTGGCCTCACTAGTGCAGACTAGAGTGGAATAATCACTTCCCTCAATCTGCTGGAAACACTCCTACCAATGCAGCCCAGTATGCCGTTAGCCTTATTGGCCTCAAGTTTAATCAAGGAGCAGCACTGGCATGCACTCAATGCAAGAAAGCAGCTTTTGACAGTCCATCCCTTCCACTTACCTGAACCTGAAATGAGAACTATCCTGAGCTTCCCCCGCCCACAGATGCAGCAGATTTACAAAGGGCAACATAAGAGCTGAAAGTGGTACTGCGTGGCAGGTCTGTAACACCACCACCACCAAAGCCAAGCACAATGCTGTTCCAGGCTAACAGCATCCACAAGGCAACCCAGGCCCACTATGCCCTGGTTCAATCTATTCCCAGGGCAAGTGGCCCCACAGCCTGGGTCATTACAAAAAGGATGAATTCCTTCCTTACCTCCTGCAAGTAGGTGATGTCCCACACCCTCAGTTCACTGTCTGCAGCCCCAGTGATCAGACGCTTCTCTTCTGACACCAAAACCAGGCCCCAGACCTGCCAAAGTGAACACAATGAGGAGCTCCTTCAGGTCTACTTCCATGTGCCCAGTCACTAGAGTGCCCACAGGCCTCTGCACATTAGTGCAGTTGGACTTATGACACCCTTTCAAGTTCAAGGAGCTGCAGCATCCCCATTTCACCAAGTGGGATGGTGAAATGGTGAAACAGAGACTCAGAAAGACTAAGGCCTAAAATGAGGAACCCATAAAAGAGTCCCTTCTAAGCAGGGCACTACAAAAGGACACTTGTTTTGGAAACATCATCCCTAGTATGTGCCATACAAGACCCCCTCAAATCCAAGGTCTCTCCCCATCTTGCTGCACAGCCAACAAGCACAAATGTTTCACACGCTAAGCAGTGCGACCATAGACTGCAAACCTGCACTGTGGTCAGAAGGAACCACGTGCCTTCTGAACTCCCCTCCCCACATTTCTATGCCTCGGTTACCTCAGTACGATGTCCAACCAATGTTCTGAAGCAGTGCTGGGTATCCAGGTCCCACCATTTCACCAGGGTGTCTTTACCACTGAAACAAAAAACCAACCCCAAATGACACCACCCAGACACCAGTCAACATCCCCAGAGTCCAGCCAATAATCACACACTCAAGCAATAGGCAAAGCCAGGTGTATCGAGTGGAAAGCCAGACTTCCTCATATGAAAGTGACATTGAGGGTCATAGGCCAAGCAAGATCAGAATGAGAAATCACAAACACAGGCACTACAGAAAGAGGCACTGCAAATTCATTAGGAGGCTTTTTTTCCTTAGGACAGATACTCAAACTTCCAGCATGGTGCTGCAGAGGAAACACTCTGCTTTATTTAAGGATAAGGATGACATGCTGGCTAAATTCCAAAGGTACATCTCTCCAAATTTGCCCTGCATTTTGACACCAATCAACCCTACCCCATCAAATGATGCAACCACAGCATGCAAATTAGCTATGGTGAAAGGACAGCAATTGTGTGAGCAATTTCCAGGGTCCTAATGGCCACAAATAAGAGCAACCTCAACTGCTGACATGGTGTCTCTGGGAACCTCATAATAACTAAAGACAAGAACCAATAATAACTTCTCTTAATTGCAACCTAATTTCACCCAGAAACTTTTAAATATACACGTAAAATTTTAACTTATTACAGTACAATTTTAGTTAAATTACTCAGTACAGGATCTGATTGCAAATGCTAATTTTCCTAAAGGACTCATTTTTAAATTAATATCTTCACAAACTAATAGTTAAGTTCTCTTGTAAACTATCAGAATAAATGCTGAGAATTTAGTAGGACAGGCTGCTATTTTCATAATAAGGAAGCCACCCCCCCCCCAAAAAAAACAAACAAACAAACAAACCACCCACACGCTTTAAATAAGACAGAACCAGCATCTCTATAAATATGTGGCAACCTACATATTCATTTAACATTATAAAAAACAGTAGCATAACTAAGGATGAGTGGCATAAATGCAAGTTTGGGTACAACCACGTCAAATACAGTATTTGACAGACTAAACATTTTTCAGAATGGCAAATTTTAAGTTGACTATCCTTCAGCTGATATTTCCCAACTAAAAGGATACCCATTAAACATGCTGATCTCAAGATTACACAGTATTTTTTTAAAGTCCGCAGTGTCAGAGTCCAGGTGGTACAGCAAGAGGTCATTTAACAGAGGTGTAATAAAAGTACAGCTCCACACCTGAGGGAAAGCTAGCACACAGGATAGTGCCATCTGCTGTACTGCACTGACAACAGTCAACCATGATACAGACTATTTTTGTGCCTCCTCTCAGCCCCCAAAGGCAATGCCTGGGGCTGCTGCTCCAGTTGCCCCACCCCACCAATTATGCTACTCACATTTAATATAGCATCAGATTGTGTTATAGTCAGATTTATAATTTTGTAGCTATTCGCTTCTTTATCTCACATGCTTGGGTTTTACAAAGTATGAGAAAGACAAGCAACACCTAGATTGGTGTCTTAACTTGACCATGTCAACCCAGTTTAGCACACCCAGCAGCACCATTTACCTGGTAACCAGCAAGTTCTTCTCTCTCAAAAAGAGCACCTGCGTGACAGCATCTTTGTGTCCCTTCAGCCGGTACAAACCGCTCTCATTGATGATGTCCCACACAATGACATCTGTATCCTGAATGGGAAGGTACCAAGGGAATGACCTCTGCCTCAAAGAATCTACAGGTCTCAGGTAAAGCACTTCAGCATTGACATGAAATACCCTCTGCTGTAAGGAGCCTAGCAGGCTTCTTCCACCCTCAAAAGCTGTACAAGGAACCCCCATCCTCTCCCCCCATCCTCCCCTGCCCCCAACTCCTACCCTAGTATTCCAGCTGTGGGCTCCCTTCACAGCCCTGCCAGTGCACCCTAATCCTGGCCCTTGCTACTCTGTTCCAAAGATATCCCACAAAACCATTCACATATTTCTCACCCAAACCCTGGATAATCCATGATAATATTATGCCTCCAGCCATTCCCCCATGGTTAGGTCTACAATGATCCCCAAAGACCGTCTAGTCCTCCTCAATTTATAACAGGGCTGACCTCCAGAGTGGACTTTCCCCCAACCAAATCTCACCTTTGAGCCTGATACCAGCCTGCCTCCCAGCTGATCATACTTCAGAGCGGTAACAGAAGCCTTGTGTCCATTGAAAGTGACAATCACTTCACCATTCAAGAGGCTAAAAACACGGACTGCTCCATCCTCATATCCAACGGCCAAGTGCAGCCCATCTGGGGATGGGCAGAGAGAAGTGACCTCCTGTTTGAGGCCCTGCAGGATGAGAACCTATCATTTTAAGAAGAGAAGATGTTTGCAATATGATGTGACATGTCAGGTCCAGGCACTCACAGGGAATAAAGAGTGTACTGTGCATCTACCTCACCAACCCAAAGGGCATCCAGAGCTTTAGACACTATTTTCTAACACCTCTTTGCTCTAGTAAGTTTTGTATCATTGCACCATTTAGGAAGGGGTAGACTGAAACAAGAAGGAAAATTATTCCCCCCAGCCACATGGGAAATGACAACTAGATCCCAATTACCAGTCCTGTGTAACAGCCAGACTGCTGTTGCCTGCTTACCAGTAGGAGAGCCCTGCTAACCCTGTGCTATGAAATCATACAATTTCCTCATAACCCATGTCCTTCTCTTAGGTGTACAACAAAGCTTTCCCAAAAAACACAAAGGGATCCAGAACTCTAAAGCCATTTTCAAAACAATTTGTTAGCAACCAGCATCTCACCAATGACTGGAGCAACACCCTAGCCATTCTGCATTGAACATCAGCTCTTATGATCCCAGACTCTGTTTAATAAGGGAGCAGTGTGTAAGGTTACCCTCCACTGTAGCCACAGAAATTTAACTTTCATTTGGCAACCAGCGAGGTTGGACAGCATCCTTTCCATTATCAGCTTCTGTAAAGGACAACACCCTTACCCATGCCCTTGTATAGTGGGTGTCTGTAATACCTGAACACAGGCACCCAGGCCTCCAGGAACAAGGAAATCCTGTTCAGACACCCAGGCAATAACACTCTTCCCCAACTAAATTAGTGATTCAAGACCAAACCTAGAGTAATGATCTTCGCCTAGAAAATGCCACTGAGGCATGTATTTGTATCCTGTACTGGTGCCAGGGGCAGCCAAATTTAGCCCAAAGCCTGAACGAGCAAACAAGAAAAGAGGCAAGTCATCGTCATAACCGAGGGGTGCCCACAAGTGCTCCAAGCAGCTGGATCACTCCAGCTCCAAACTGCCTGAAGACACAGGACCCTTATAGGAAGTCCACTCTTCCCTGTTGCACCTCGCGTCAGGTCTCTCATGCCACCTCCCGTTGTGGGCCGGGGGCACAGGAGGGAGACCCCACCCGCGCTGCGCGCCTGAGGACACCGGGCACAGCAGAGACAGGTCAAGCCGGCGCCCCTGGGGCTCTGGGCGGCGCGGAAGGCGGGCACGCGGACTGACGGGCGGGCGCGTGCCTTGGCGGCGGGCGGGCCTCACCTTCTCGCCCCTACGGGTGTCCCAGAGAAAGACATGCTCACACGCCGGTACCGCCACATAGCGGCCGCTCTCGCCGCGCAGACGCACATAGGCCACGTTGCCCTTGGGACTGGCGATGAGGCCAAACACCGCAGCGACCCCGTAGCGCAGGTACTGCCGCGTGAGTCCCATGGCGCGCCCGCACCCAAGTCCACCGCCTCCCCACGAGACCGGAACCAGCACACCGCGATAGACTCGCGTGGGCGGAAGTGAGGTATAAAGCCCACCCCCGAGCGCTGGTAGGCTACGGGATTGGTAAGAGGCTGATCCCGGAAGCGGAAGGTTGGGGTTGGGAGTTTTTCCAGTAGCTTTGCAAGGGAATGTCTCTGGTCTGTCCTGAGCCGGGATCGAGTCGCCGGGCGGGAGTAGCGGGGTCCGCCCGTGAGTGAGCGGGGCTGGGCCGGGGCGCTCCGGGCCTCCCTCAGCCCAGGTGGCCGCGCCCCGGGCAGGGCGGGAGGGGCTTGTTCTTGCGGCCCAGGCCCCCGGCGCTGCCTCGGGCGGTCAGTGCGTGCGGGTGCTCCAGAGCTTTTTCCCGGGCGCCTGCCATTGCGCTCGGCTGCCCTTGGGGCGCCGCCGGCCCGCGCGGCGCTGCTGCCGCCCTCTGTGCCGCAGCTAAGCGGCAGCGTCTGTTACCACCTGCGGTTGAGCCTCTGACTTGTCTTTCCTGTGCCAGAGCAACGGGTGTCGGTGCTGGCCTTAAAAAAACCGTTATGGCATCAGGTGTTGCCTGGCTCTGCCCGTAGAGACCTGAATTCTCCAGCTGCCTTTCCTAGAGAGCTCCTGGGTGCCGTAGGGCGGGTTGCTTGTACTGGTCACTTTGAATGTGGCTACTGACAGTTCTCTTTGTTTCCTGCCTGCCCAGCTTGAGAACCTGGGGTCTAAACTGCACAAAGGCAAAGTATTTGCAGCTGCAGCTGAAACCTGGGCCTCAAACATACAACGATTTGTACAAATACTATGCATTCAGAAAAAATGGGCCGGGGCATCTCGGGTTGGGCACACATGACTGTTGGACAGTTGTGACTAGTCTTTCTGTTTCTTGGTTTCATATCTATAAATGACTATGACCATACAGCAGCCTCATTCAGAGGTTCAGTGAGGGTTAGGGTTTGTGAGAAGAATAACACGTGCCCCTGAAGGCTGGGGGGGCATAGCGGCGGCAAACGCAGCGCTCCTGCAGGCTGCCGCAGCAGTGTCACCAGGGGGTAGGGAAGAGTGGTGAGTGCCAACTGGTAGTTGGCAACTGCTCGCATACGCCGGGGGTTGAGGGGAGGGGTGGCGAACGGCAACCTCCTGCAGGCGCTGCCAGCAGCATTGATGGTACTTCTCTCAGGGGGTGCACTGCTAGTCTTGGGGGTGTGCATGCACCCCCAGTGGTTTGTGAAGCACTCAAACTAGAAGTAAACACCATAAAATATTTAAGTATCCATTTTGTCTTCAGAGCAGGCTTGGCTACTATGGAAATTGGATAAGAGATTACAAATATAAACAATGAGGAGAAAACAGTATTAAGTAGCTGCTTGGTCAGTGTGAACACCTTTTGTCTTCAGCACTGAATGATTCAAATATTATAGGAATTAGTTTGTCATCGTGTAACTAAACCAGTGTTGTGTAAAGCACAGGTACAAGGAGCTGAATTAAGATTGCATGGGCAAACTTGGTTCTTATGCTTGATTTTAGAACTATAATATGCCTTCGTCACAGGGACTCTCCTGTATGTGTAATCCTGGATAGCTCATATTCTACCATCCTTACTAGTGTCTGAGCATGGTCCAGAAATGTATAAATTTATATTACCAATATTTGCCCTATGAAGCTCTTTCTCTTTGCCTCTCTTCTGGGAAAGAATTGCATATAGAGGTTAGCCTTTTTTGGTCCACTTTTGCTTTGGGGCTATCTTTCTGTGTATGGTGCTATATAAGGATCAGAGAAGACAAGGTTGAAGAAGTATGGCCTGCACTTTGTGTAGAAAGTGGCAAAGTTTGAGTTGGACTCCAGTTACTGAGTATGTCCCATGGTTTGTAGCTGAGCCCACAAAAAACATCACCTGCACAAACAAGCTTTCTTTTGTGATGGTGTTCCCCTGCTCTAAGCTTCTGGCCCCGTGTGGAATTGAGGCCTCCACAGAAATTCAGTTGGAAAAGCTGGGCACACAACAGAAGGGACCTTGTGAGCCTGGAAAGCCCAGAAACCATTGCCGTGTGACAGTGCCTTGGTGCCTGAAGAGCAGAGTTATCAGCCAGAGTTTATCCCAGTGGTTTTTGTATGTGCTGGGATTAGATGAGGACCACAACTTTGAACTTGACTCTGTTCTGCTTGTTGTGTTTACAGTAGCCCATATGGCTGAAGAGAGATACTGTACTCACCTATACTAGTTGAGAGCTGAGGTGTTTTTCTGGTGCTGTTGCTTGCACCAGCCAATAGAGAATTGAAGTCTTGTAGTCCAGACAGGAGGTGGCAAAGGCGTGTATAACTAATTCAGGTCATAGTTTTGTTCACTAGAAGACTATCCCATCCTGACAGAAAACTTTGCTTGTTGTTGTGGCTTCGCAAAAGCAGTGTTGGTGAGGAATCCTGCTCTGCTAAATACAGCAAAGTGAAGCTATAGAAGTGGTATGTGATAGCATAATCTAAGTAGCACTACTTACAACAGCAGGAAAATTCAGTGGCATAGTCCTTAACAAGTGATAGCAGCCAGAATACAAACTCTCCAGAGATACTATGTACTTAACTATATTTGCTAGAACAGCCTTCTAGAAAGAGATTGGTCAGTGTGTCTCACTGTATTTTATTGACTGGCAGTCCACTGAGTAGTGTTGAATTTTGCAAAAATGTGAGCAAATTCAATTTTTGGAGAGTGGGGGATATGTTGTATAAAGTGCTACAGGTCTGTGTCTATGAAATGTTCAGCACCTTTTTATTTTTAATTGATTTCAGCAGTACTTCATTTAGAGTGGAGGATGCTTAGCATCTCACAGGATTGGATCCTGCAGCATTAAGGTAATTAACAATTGGTGTATACATATTTATATAATTTCCTACTTTATTTAAAGTGGGGTTCTGGCAGCCCACAAGGGGTTAATATGTGGCCCCCAGGTTCCTACCTGGTTACTGCTCCCCCTATTGCTCCAACTGTTGCTGAAGCCAGGGTCTGTAGACTCTCTTTCTGCTTCAGCTTTTGCCTCCTGCATCCACCCCAGAGAGCAAGGCAGTGCAGCCTATGGTGCTGGGCAGCTTGCAGTTCAGAACTGCCTGCATATACCACTCAGCGAGATGGGAGCACTGTGTGGGCCTGCTCCTGTGCGTGGTGCACTGGGGTGGGGGATGCATGCAACACCCAGCTGCTTAGAAGTTAGACAGCCCTGATTTAAAGCATTCAATCACTTTGATTTTTGTTCTATAGGATGCTACTGTCAATGTGAAATTTAAAATTGGTACAATCAACATTTTAGAGAGAGAAATTCACTAATTAATTGGAGGAGAGAGGTTAGGTAAGTGGTTTTATTTTTCTTAACTACCTTGTTATTTGCAAATAAACTTAATTGTCCTGAAGTTTTTCTTCATAAGTCCAGCTCTTTCAGAATTATTCTTGGTAAAATGCCAGGCCTTTGACCCTGCCTTTTTTTTACCTTTTATCTCTCTTTGAAGCACCTGGAAGACTCCATTGAGAATTGGAGTGCTAACAAGTTAGCAGAAAGGAGAGTTGTTCTTTCCATTCCATGGATCCACTGGGTGCTCCTTCTCAGTTTGTGGATATTGACACACTGCTGTGCTGGACTGATTTGTATGTGGCAGAACAATTGGATTCTCACCAAGCTCCTGTTGAGAGAGCCCAAGTTGACATTAGGTCACCTTTCCCATACAAGAAAGACATCAATGCTAAAATAGTCTTGTGGTAAGTTTTTTGGTTCAGGTCTGTCCTCTCCGGTCTTTGGGTCATTGGTATTTTCCTTTTTACAGTGGTACCTGAATGCCTAACAAAATGGTCTCAACACAAAATAAAATTCTATTATTAGTCTGATTTCCCACCCCCCCCCCCCGCCCCCCCAACCCCTGCAGCAGACACACTTCATGTCTAGACAGAAAAGAAAAGGGGAAAGGCTACTGGGACAAGAGTAAATAATATCCACCCCTGTTTGGCTTACAATAGCTTATTTCTACATTCCTCTTGCACTTAATTAGTACAAAACAGCCATGTACTACTTCCTATGGTGCACTTGTGAGTACATCTTATCAGTCACCTTTTAGTTAATAAACACTAGAACTTACTGTCTCTTCTGATTTATCTTCCTTCTTGATATTGCTGGCTTCATTCTACTTTTTTCTGTCTTTGTTACTGTAGATTATGGCCATATGTAGACCAAATGAAGCACGTGTGCATGACACTTTAAAGCAGGCTAAATGCTTTTGCATCACTTAATTGTGTCGGTGTTTGCACGCCTTGGCAGTGTATTGCACATTAATTCTAGCTGCAGTAGGAAATTTGGTGGCGTAACACTCCTTAAATGACTTGAAGCACAGCAAACTAAAACTCCTTTGAGGAGTTTGTTTGCTGCCCCTAAAACCATGGAGCAAAGCACCAGGCTCTGTGCAGCTCTGTAGAAAGCCCTGCAGGCAGCCTAGCAGTAGCCTGGGAGAGCAGACTGCCCAAGAAAAGCAGTGAGCCTGATCTTTTTTCCCCCCTGGAGCCTGCCTGCCTGAGCTGTATGGGGACAGCTGCAGCCGCCCCTGCCATGGAGGGAAGCAGCAGCCTTCCCCACCACCACCCCCCAGCAGCACAGGGACTGCTCCACCCTCCAGCAGTTCACCCTCCCCTCCCTGCCAGAGAGGCAGGTAAGTCAGCGGGGTGTGTGTGACAAAATGGGTTTAATCAGCCCTAAATTAAAGCAGTGTGTTTTAAAACCCACCACTTCAATTTAGGGTCCCCATTTCATCTACACACGCCTTATGTGTGTTCTCATTGTCTTCAGCATCTCTTTTTCTTTTTTCTTTTGTTTTCCTATTTTGCTCTCACTTCCTTTTACATAGGTTTTTTTTTTTTTGTCTCCTTACTCTTCTGTTAAAGTCTGACTCAGCAGTGCATGCCTGTGCTAACCTATCCCATCAATTTCTCCTCTCTTGCTCTCTCTTATACCAAGGGTATTAAACTCAAGCAAGTCAGCAGGCCAGATCCATCACAGGGCTTCTTACTGCAGTTGCCAAACCTGCTGCATTGGCATGGCCAGCATGTGAGGGTTAACAATGCTGCTGCTTGCCACCTTACCACTGGTTTGCATGCCTAACTGCAGTTTCACACAGGACATCTAGAAGTGGGTAAGGCCTGGGGGAGATGAGTGGTGGCAACTCCCTGTATTCTGGCCATGCTGGCACAACAGCTTTTGCAGCCACAGCAAGAACTACTGTAGGCCAGACCTGGAAGTCGGTCTTTCAGCCCAAGAGAAGTCATCCTACCCGCAGCCTCTATATTTGATACACCTGGTTTACTCGAGTTGACTCCTCATCTTTAAAGTGTTGGGCATACTACCTAAAGTCTGAAACTTGAAAAGGGGAATGATCTCTCAGAGATGGTATTAATTTAAGATCCAGACCTCAAAACAGCTGCCAAGTAACAAGTGTGGTGTGATCTCATGCTGCTCAAGCAGAAAAAGAAAATAGTAGGGAGCTCATAGCCCCTGTCATATAAGCTTCCAGATTAATGTCTGAAACAGCAAGTCCCGTTTTTTGCTTCAACCTTCTGCACAGAAGGAGGACTTTTTTCTCAGAGCCTATCCATACCTGTCTCCCCCACCCCATCCTCTGCCAAAGATATCCTGGATGATGCAGGTGGGTAGGCAGGGCCTCTGCCAGCCTCATTTTTCATTCCTTACTTACCTGTCTCTGGTCCCTCCTTCAGCTTTCCTTTGCAGTAGCAGAGTGCCAGTGACTAGATTCTTCCCAGTTTCACCGCTTATGGGTTTCTGAGCAGCGGCAATGAAAGCTTATATGACTGGGTTTTATCCTGTCAGGGTTTTTGCTTTTGTGTTTTGAGGCTGTACACAGTAGCGCCTAAATACTCTACAATCACTTGGTTGTGGTTTAAGAGTAAGCACTGCATTAGTTAAGAAATGTCTTTTCACAATATGCGCAGTTTCACTCTGCAATTGGAGACTAGAAATAGAGCAGCTAAGCCTCTCAAATCAAACAAGTAGCCTCAACCTGCCTACTCTGTTGCCATTCCCTTTATCTTCTTTTCTTCAACAGGGAAATCAGGGAGGCTTGTTCACTCCCTTGCCCAACCCTACACCCTTGCACATTTGCTTTATTAAGATCCAGAAATGCCTATAAAAACAGCGCAAATGCTTAAGAAAAAGAAAATGACAGGTTATGGAACAGCTCTTATTTGTGATATTCCCCACAACATGTTTCTGTTAACAGGTAGCAGCCACCACACCATCACAAGAAATATTCTGCCTCTGAAGAATGATAAAACCTATAACTTCCTTTACATCCCTGGTGCTCACTGTTGTCAGGAGCCTACCATTAATATGTACACTGTGTTGTTTGTTAGAAAAGTTTGACATTTCTGTTAAAGGGGTAAGCCTCTAACCAAAGGATTAGTCTGTTATATGTAGTGTTTCATCATCAGCTAGAAGTAGAAGGTACCTTTTGAAGATGGTGAGTCTGTGTTGTTTCTGTGGAAATGTGCTGCACAGGCATTAGGGTGTCATTTTTAATAGGTTCCCTTGTAACTTGCTATTTATCTACTTCTAGGCTTTGCTTATATGCAATATCTTCTCAACACTTTAGATTTGTTTAAAACTAAATTGTGTGGAATATGTTGGAGGCAGAGTAGGAAGGGAGTACAGTGTTGCACCACAGGGTAGTTATAGCCCTTAAGCAGTCAAACACTTCAATTGTATGAAGCTCTTCTGTATAACTTGTTCTGAATAGTTTCATTGTTTCCTCAGGAAAGGAGATGTGGCCTTACTGAATTGCACAGCTATTGTGAACACAAGTAATGAGTCTCTGTCAGATAAGAATCCAGTATCTGAAAGCATCTTTATGCATGCTGGTCCTGACCTGAGGGATGAACTTCAGAAACTCAAAGGTAAATGGCTTGGAATCTGGCTCTGCAGAAAGAAAAACTGCCTATATAATAGAAAGATTTGTTTTTTGAACAAGGCAGGGGGCAGAAAAAATATTTCCAGTTCTTTCCCTTAGTTGGCCTTAATATGAAATAAAGGGACAATGCTAGGGCCAGACTATGGCAAGCTATTCCTCCATTTTGTAATTCCAGTTACAGATCATAGAAAAGCTTTTGGCAACTATTCAGGTTACTGAAATTCTACTTTCAGGTCATGGTACAATTGTTCCCTTTGTGTATGAAGTGGCTTAGAGCAGTTAATTTGAATAACTTACCTAAGCTTTTAGGGTAGTGACCAATCTTGGACAACTCCTGACTTTTTTCAGGACAGCTCCCTTTAAGGAGGCATGCACAAGGCTGGTGTTCACCACAGCAGAAATCCTAAACACAACATGAGGTTTTGTTTTTTTTTAAAGTAATTTCTGATAAGTTTTTTTTGTATGCCCTGCTAGCCTGCAGCCATACAACTTACCTTTTCAAGAAATAATACTTAATTTAATAGCCTAATACTTAATTTTTTTTTTACTATTCCACTTGATTAAACAATGACTCATTCAGTTGTTAGTTCACTTTCCCTTCTAAATCAAAAATGGTTTTATAAGGAAGTTCATTAATGATGGAAAAAGGCTTTTGGAAGGCTGGTAATTCTGCTTTGGAGTCTGGGGTTACATGAGCCCTGTCACTATAATATCAGAGTACCTGCAAATATTTATAAGGGTTGGCCATGATGGTGAGAACAACAAGAAATGTGAGAGAAGATTTTCTTGCTGGTGTCTTTTTATGGGACCAGCTGTATAGCTGGAAGAAATGTTGGAAGACAACAAGCTTTCAGGCACAAAGCATACTTTAGGTAGAGCCCTTCAGGGAGAAAGGCGCACATTTATCTAACGTCTCCCACCGATACAGCTGATTCAATAAATGACATCACCAAAAATACCTTGCTTCTGCAAATACTGTGAGAGCTCAGTGCAGCGCTCAGAGAGGGAATTACTACCCCATTCTGCATGTGAGGTACTGAGATATTTAGGGACTTGCTCATGGTTCTACATGAAGTCTGAAATTTGAGGTCCTTTATGCTTTTTGTCTTCAACCACTGGGGTGTTTATATTTCACTAGAATCCTGCAGTGTCCCATTACATATGTAGCATATCATTTCGCTCTCTGGTGCTGTAAATATCCTGAGTCTTGGGAAGGTAACAATAGAAAAGAAACCACACCTCTGGACATTGTGGAAAACACTGCTGGTATGTTGTGTGAGGAGGAGGAGGAGGCTGTGCAATGAATAGTGGATGTTTCCACTTCCATTCAGCAACCTGAAGCTCTGCCATTCAGCCAGCAGAAGTGGAAGACGTGTCTACTAAATTCGCTTATGGAAATTTAGCATATAATATCTGTCATCATTGGTGTTGTAGTCATTCTGCACTGTTTTTGCACTTGTTCTGTATAGCAGAACATCTGAGAGAAGCTGACAGTGTGGGTGCTCTGGTTACAAATCCTAGAGTAAATATCATGAAGGCTTTCAGTTAGTTCTTTCCTAATCCCATTATAGCCACTTTTCCTAAGCCCTGAGAAGTCATGATTAAAGCATGTGACATGTTGACCTTACTCAGGCCTGGGAGCTCAGTGTTTTGGGTTTTTTATGGCTCAGCTGACTGACATTTCTTGGAACTATCTTCCTTTAACCTATAAATGTTTCAGGCTTGTAAACTAAATTCTGGGTCTACAGCTCTTTTACATGTACATATAGTAGTTTAAAGAGCTCCTGTAGTAGCAGTAAAGTAAGTCTTCCAACTGCCATTGAAGCTGCACACTGTATCCAATGCACACTGTAAATGGAAAAAAAATCTAAAGCTTTCATTTAAAATGTTGAGAAATGGTAATTTAATACATAAATCATCAAACTGGATAAAGGAGACATTGGCTCTCTGCCTGGCTTTATCATGGACTTTCTGTGCAATTTTGGGAAACTCGCATCCCTGCTCTGCCTTACTCTTTGTCTGTAAAGCACAAATAAGATTCTGATTTGACAAGCAGATACTGGTTTAAAGGGGGGTTTCTGCCCGTTCCCCAGCCCTCTGCCTCTGAGAGGGGTGGAGAGAAGGAGGTGGGAACCCCTTCCATTGGCCCCACCAGCTGACATATGCCCAGAGCACAGATCCCCTTCCCCCCCCCCCCCAGCAGCTTGAGCCTGGCTGGGATCTCCCAGCCCCACTTCTCTACCCCTTCCCTAGCCATTTGCTGTGGGGGGCAGGGGGTAGGAACACAATGCCCCTCCCTACCCCTGCACCAGCCCCCCAACTAAGGTCTACCTAGTGCAGAGGAG